TTTTGTTCCCTCAACTCAAAGAGCTTTGGAAAGGACCATGATTTATATCCTTCGAGTACACCAAAACTGCTGTTTTGACATGATGTATATCGAAGGGCGCCAGATTCTCCAGTGAAGGATTAGAGAGATGGAAATACTGCCTTTAGAAGCGTATAGACCTAGATGGGAGGATGTGTTGAGAAACAACAGCTTCACCTTTTGATAGTCTTGTTGAATAAAGGTTTCTGTGAGTCTGTAGAATACTTTCTGACTCACCCTTGTATTTGGTGGATGGATGAATGACTGTCATTATCTTACTGTGTACCAAGGGCTAAAATAAGTTGCCACTGACCAACTCTGACTCATGGTGTCATGTGTGTCAGAGGAGAACGGTGCTCTAGGGTGGTCAGTGACTGATTTTGGGGAAGTAGATCTTCAGGACTGTCTTCAGAGGCACCTCTTGGTGGACTGAAGCCTCCATTGTTTAGATTAGCAACTGAGCCAGACTGTACCAGGGGTGGCCAGTTGGAAAACAAGAGGTATAAAAGAAATCCCATTCCATTCATGGCAGAAACAAAAACTATATCAAAGAACCTTGGATTCAATAAAAATTCATAGGATCTATATTCTTTATTGGAGTCCTGGTGTAGCACTGTGGGTTAATGCATCAGGCTGCAAAGCTGTTTGAACTGCAAGATTGACGGTTCAAGCTCACCAGCTGCTCCTCAGAAACCCTATACAAGGTCGATATGAGCTGGAATCAACTCAACAGCACTTCACAACAACAACAACAACATATTCTTTATTCAACAAGTATTTATTGAGCACCTGTTAATGCTAGTCTGTTTTAAGTGCCTTCAAGTTGGTTCTGACTCATAAGGACCCTGTATAGGGTTTCTGAGGAGCAACTAGTGGGTTTGGACTGCCGGCTTGAGGTAGCAGTCCAGTGCTACTCCAACATCTAGCCACTGTGATTTCTAAGTTAGAAATGTCCTAGGTGACATGGTTAAGAGCTCATCTACTAGCAGAAAGGTTGGCGATTCACACCCACTCAAAGACATCTCAGAGGAAAGATCTGGTGATTGCTTGTGAAAGGTCACAGCCTGCAAAGCCCCGAGGAGCAGTTTTTCTCTGCACACATGAAGTTGCCACAGGTCAGAAATGGCTAGTAACAGTAGCGTGGTTTCTAAGCTGATTTTAGATCAACACAATCCTTTCTTATACTGAATTGACACAAATTCAAAATGTCCCTGTGAGAGATGGGGATGAAAACATCGTTTCTCTTAAACATTGCCATTCTTGGTTGCCATTAAATTAAAAATCCTCCCAATTGTGATTTTATTTGGGAGTGGGATGGGGGGGGAGGGGGGATATATAGACTATGTGAATGGTGGTGGAACAAAATTATTTGATAAAAATGAACAACATAGACCAGTCAGTGTATTTTTCCCAATGGACCGCAATGATGGACGCTCTGATGAGTCATGTTTCAAAAGTGCTACAATAGTAATTTGGTCCTGACCTTGGAACAGATGTGAATGTCTACAAGTAGAGCCGCCTGTTCAAGGATTAAGTAGAAGGTGCCCTGGTGCTTCCAATCACTGGGGACTGAGCATCCTTGTCCATTGTTATTGGGACATAGGTATTATAAGTTTTGGAGAAATTAGGCTAAGACCTTACCTTTAGCCATAAATTGTTTTCTTTTGCAGACTGAAGATTTCATTGTAAAAATGAACTCTTCATAGTTTTAGAAGATGACATTGATGGATTTTGTGATATAGATTGGTGCAGGAAAAGCCTTCCTAAACATGAATAACAGGCAGAGACTTTACAATAAAAGTCCTTGATGGCAAAGCAAAGAACAGGAATCTTTAAAATGTAATGATTGTTATTGTTGTTGTTAAGTGCCATTGACTTGGTTCCAACTCATTGCGACCCTGTATAGGGTTTCTGAGAAGTGATGAATGGGTTTGAACTGCCGAATTTGTGGTTTGCACCCCAGTGCTTTTCCTATAGTGCCACACTGGCTAATAAGGTTAATAATATATGCTGTTATTGGTAGTTGCCATTGAGCCGGTTCTAACTCATAGTGACCCTGTTAAGGGTTTCCAAGAAGTGGCTGGTGGGTTTGAACCACCGACTTTATGATTCAGACTGACCTTTTGGTCCACTGCTTTACCCTACAGCACCATACCAGGACTCTTTAATATATAGAAGTTAAAAATAAATCAATGAAAACCAGTTGCCAGAGAGTCGATTCTGACTCATAGAGGCCCTATAGTACTCTGACTTCAAGAAACCCTCTAGGACAAAGTAGAAATCTCTGGTAGGGTTTCAAAGGCTGTCTGTCTGTCAGTCTCTGATTGGACACAGACTGTCGCAGCTTTCTCACGCAGAGTGACTGGTGGTTTCAAACTGCTGACCTTTCAGTTAGCATCTGAGTGCTTAACCACTGCATCACCAGGGCTCCTTTCATAAACCTGTTGCTGTCATATTCTGTTGAGTCAGTTCTGACTAATAGCATCCCTGTTTCCAAGCATCAGCTGGTGAGTTTGAACCACCAACCATGTGGTTAGTCCAGTGCTGATCCTACGGCACCACACCAGGACTCCAGTAAACCAATAAGTGGGTTTTATATGGAATAAGCAAATCTTAGAACTAGGGAGGGCAAAATCCAAATTCTGTACTTTATAGATGGGGGTTTTGAGGTCCAGAGAAGATAATTTTCATACCGAAGACCACATAACAAGCTAATAGGATCCTTTCACCCCACCTGCCTGTGAATGATATTATAGGAATCTAGGTGCAAGGAGTTAGTAAAGCAATCTGTAAGTTCTGACTCATAGCGACCCTGTGCCGGGTTTCCGAGGCTGTAAATCTTTACGGGAGCAGAAAGCCTCATCTTTCTAATGTGGAATATCTGGTAGTTTCAAACTGCTGACCTGAAGGTTTGCAGCCCGATTTGTATCCACTACCCTACCGATTTACTGAAAAAATTTTAGTTGTGGACAGAGTCAAACAGTGTAATTCAATTCCAAGAAAAGGTCAAGGTTTGTTAGGAAAATTAGTGATGATGGGTAATAAATATTAGTTTGCATGTGTGTAATAACAATTTGTGTTTTTATTTGGATTTATTTTAAATGCATCTGGTGTGGCACTGTCTGATAAGCACTGGACTTTTAACTATAAGGTTGGTGGTTCAGACTCACCAGCTGCTCCTTGGAAACCCTACACAGGGTTGCTATGGGCTAGAAAAGGCTCAGTGGTCCATAACAACAATTGCATGTTAATGTTTTAATGTAATATTTCTTATTGCTTATAAAGGTAGAAGAAAGAAGTCGTATTTCAGGTACTGCCATGCACATCACCTTCCCCAAATTTTAGGGTTAGCCCTAAGTAGAAATAAAAAGCTACCTCTGAAACGCACTAGCCTTGTTTGTCAATATGGATCCTGTGTGAATGGCATTTGTTCTAGTTTATAAAATGTATAGGAGTCATGACTTTCTGTTTTTTTCCCTCCACAAATCATGACTTTCTGTTTTTTTCCCTCCACAAATATCTACATACTAGCTCTGTGTATGACACTGTGCAAGGTATGTGGATTAAAAAGGACAAACACAAAGCCCCGCAACTGTAGTCCATGTCATCAGCATGCCAGGCCAGCAGTCAGTGTGAAGGTTTTTAATGAGATAGATTGTTGCTGTTGTTCAATGCTGTTGTGACCCTGTGTAGGGTTTCCAAGGACTGGCTGGTGGGTTTGAACCACCGTTCTTGTGGGTAGTCATCCACTGCTCATCCTTCAGCACCACATCAGTGAGGTAGGTTAGAGCTACAACATTGGTACAAAGGAAAAAACCATGGTCTGAGAAGGTTTTCTTTTGATGGCTTTGAAGATGATTATCCTGCTATGGCACTGTGGGTTAATGCGCTGGACTGCAAGGTCGGCGGTTCAAGCTCACAAGCCACTCCTCGGAAACCCTATACAGGGTCACTATGAATAGGAACCAACTCGACAGCACGTAACAACACCAGTAACCAGCAGGCATTCCAGAGTTGGGTTTCTTCAGTGATTTGATTTAAATTAGGTTAATTTGGGACTTCCTTATTTCTGGTGCTGACCTGGTTCAAAGCAGTTCTTTGTCAACATTCTAAAACATTTTACCTTTCTGTCAGAACCTTCTGTTACTGTGGGGAGAAAAAAGTTGTGAAAAATTTCTTGTGTCTTCTTAATGTCATGTACCAAGAAATATTAGAGTTTATTTAAAATCTTTTTTTAAATTTAAGTCATTTTCTAGCTAATGCCAATAGTATTTCCCCCTCCTTTCCAGTTGTTTTATGTTCTTCTTTCCACTTCAGTTTAAGGTTATCAATTATAATTTTAGAATGTGTATGCAGTGCTTTCTTTAATGCCGCTGATGTTACTGTTTTTTTCCAGGGGTGAATCAGGGGCTGGGAAGACAGAAAATACTAAGAAAGTCATTCAGTATCTTGCTCATGTTGCTTCTTCACATAAAGGAAGAAAGGACCACAATATTCCTGTAAGTTTATGTTTGGTTGTTATTTGTAAATTCTTGGTTTATTCTTGTCCAATTTCAGAAGCAAGAATAAGGAAGCCGACTTTTACTCTGTATACTGCTAATATTAGCAGCTCCCTTGTCTTCACCTCTCCCCTCCAGCAGCTCAAGGGAGCCAGGGATGGAAGAAAATGCCTATTCAGTAGTTCTTGCTTACAGAGTACTACTACCACTACAGTTGCAGCTTGAAGCCTGATTTCTTACAAAGATTTGGTGAAAACTGAAAAGTTGGAGAGCAATGTTTTATGAAGACTTGTGTCATTTCCTATCAAAAGATGACCCTCAAACCTTGTCCTCTGTTCTTCCTGAACTTTCAGAGCAACCTGTGGCTGCTTGTCCATAGCAACTTAACAGGGAGAGTAGAAATAGTGGGAAAATGTGTGGCAGAAAAAGGGGGTGACAATATATATGCCAGTGAGTTATAGAGACGCAGAGGTGACAGTTCATGCAGGCTGAGTTGTTGCTAACCATATATCAGCTTTCATAGCCCTAAACTGCACGTTGACGTGAATGCTTTGGATGTGACTTATTGCTAGGAAAAGACCCAAACTTGCTAACATTTGCATTTATGTGTTTGTAACAAATAGCAGGAATCGCCTAAACCAGTGAGACATCAGGCAAGTGCTTTTCTTTATGCTTGTTCATCTTGAGTGTGTGCACTAATTCCTGTCTTTAGATTGAGTCTCTACTCGAAACAAATGCCGAGCATTCTCAGTGTAATCTGTTAGTAAAAGCAAACTATATCTTGTGGAAATTTTCTTGTGTAGAGCCTTACTCTTTCAAATGAAAACGCATGCCATTTTGCTTTCAGTTTGTTTTCTAGATAAAATTTGATATTTATTTGCCCTTTTATCATACTGTTCAATTGCATGCTTATAAAGCTTATAGGCTTGTAGTTTCATATGTCACCTACTAGGTGGAATTACTTTAACATGTCCTAAATGCATAGAAACTTAGCTCTGTGCTATAGCTTTAAAAGTTGGACTTTTTGGGTTAGCGAATTTTGAGTTTAAGATTTTGTGCTTTAGAGAATTTGTGCCTATATGTGTGATAACCTAAAAGCCATGTACTTAATATATAAAATTAATTGTTTTTATTCGGGGCAAGAAGCAGAGGAATGTGTCTCTTCCTATGCCTAACTTTTTAGCCTCACCGAGCTCAGCAATGAACAAAAACATTTCTCTGCTACTGGGAAGTGGGTGAAGGCAGAAAGAACCGGGCCGGATTCCTTGGGTAGAATGGGACGTTTATCCTTGGACTTCATCCTTTCCCTAGCACTGGATTGGTTTTAGTGTGTCTGCCTTCCACAGGCATGATGATATAAAGCTAATGTAAGACGAGAAGCAATAACATTGTGTCACAGAAACAATCTATTAATATAGAGAAGTGATCACAGTATCTAAAGGAATTATCCTAGACGCTGAGACTTTCTGAAGATGCTTACATAATCCTCAGACACCAAAGCTCTTCTACACCTGTGAGAAGGACCTTCATACGCTGGTCTGCTTCTTTAGCTGCAGACCAGACCGGCGATGCCAACTGTGGGCGGGTTGATGAAATCATCACTGCCCTGTGGTGTATTTAATGACTTCTCTGTCAGTTAAAGAAGCGATCTCTGGACCAGACAGCAGCTGTTCTTTGTGGTTCAGAGATACATGGAGTTTGTAGTTAAATCATTAGTAATAACGTTAATGTTTTCCAGCCCTCAGTGGAGCATATAAACCCCCATGTTAGCGTTTTGTTTCTGTGTCATGTTAGACTACAGAGTGGGTCCTGGCATGTGTGAGCAGCATGCCGCCCCGAGACTGGTATCCCCAGGAAGCAAGTGCTCCCACCAGAGGCTTCTCTGGGCTGCGTGGCACTGGCATGTTGCTCCGCACGTCTTCCTGCATGTGTGCCCGCTTCAGTGTCGTCAGTGGTGCTTTTTTCTAAGTTTGATTTCAACTTTGTAGTGAAGTCAAGTAGTAGCTATGGAATGTTTCTAGAAACATTTTGAGAGCACTGGTTCTGAATGAAATTTTCTTCCTCAACACCCCGGAGGAAGGTGAGGTGAACTACTCAATGCTATGAAGGGAATGGTCACACCTGGAGAGGGTCATGGTAGGAAACACAGTGCCTCTTTCCTCACACTCCTTCCCCTCCCGGGGCTACTCCTGTTCCTGCTTCAAAATGAGTGCCTGGAAGTCAGAACAGCAGTGTTGAAGCCTGTATTTTGGCTGGTCACTATTTCTTTGGTTTGATATCGCTGGCATGTGAATTTACATTGAACTTTATAGGCACAACCCACTCAGATTCCCAGGAACCATTTGTAGAGTTTTGGGAAAATGTCTAGAATTTTATCACTAGACAGCAATATCGATGGTAAAAACCAAAGGTAAGATTTTTCTAATATCTTAAGTTTTGTCAGCCTTTTATTGATTTATTCTTATTTGTCTATTCTCTCATTCTTTTTTTAAAAAAAGATAGCTTTATTGAGCTATAATTCACATGCTATACAATTCATCCATTTGAAGTGTACAATTTACTGGTTTTAGGATATTCACAGATAGGCAGTCATCACCACAGTCAATTTTAGGACATTTTCATCATCCCCAAAGAAACCCTGTACCCATTAGCAGTCACTTTCCACACCCCACCCCCAGCACTTTGTTGTTGTTGTGAAGTGCCATCAAGTCGGTTCCGACCCATAGCGACCCTATATAGGGTTTCCAAGGAGCAGCAGCTGGTGAGCTTTAACCACCGACCTTGCAGTTCAAATGATTTTGCAGTCTGACGCCTTAGCCCACAGCGCCATACCAGGACAGCCCTAGAGTACTGCTAATCTACTTTCTGTGTCTGGATTTGCTGTTCTGTGCATTTCATCTAAGTGGAATCATATAATATGTAGTCCTTCTTTCACTTAGCATAGTGTTTTCATAGTTCATTCATATTGTAGCATGTGTTATGGCCAAATAATATTCCATTTGTATGGATGCAGTCCCGTCATCAAGCTGGTTCTTGGATGCATAGAGTACATGTCTGTTCATCAGTTGATGGATGTTTCAGTTGTTTTCACTTTTTGGCTATTAAGAGTAATGATGTTGTGAACATTAATGTACAAGTTTTTATGTGAGCATATATCTTCAATTCTCTTAGGATGTGCCAAGGAGTGGAACTATAGGGACTAGTGGACTCATAGGGTTAAATCATTCAGTTTAACATTTTGAGAAACTGCCCGATGATTTTTTAAACCATCTGCACTGTTTCACCTTCCCACCAGTAATGGCTGGGGGTTCTGATATTTCCACAGCTTCACCAACACTGATTTTCTAACTTTTTTATAGCCTTCATCCTACTAGGTATAAAGTTAATATTGTTGTTAAGTGCAGTCAGGTCGGTTTTGACTCATAGCGACCCTGTATAGTGTTTCCATGGAACAGTTGGTGAGTTTGAACTGCCGACCTTGTGGTTAGCAGTCCAGTGCTTGTCCTGCAGTGCCACCTAGGACTCTGGGAGTCAAGTAGTCTTTCATTTTTGTGTTTAAAACATAATCTTCATCAATGTCTGAGTTAACTTGACCCTCTGGGTGTGCATCAGGTGTCTGCCCTTAGCATAGGTTGCATTTGAGGATACTCAAAGCATGGCTCAATTGTCATCCTCCCGTGTGAACCCTTCTCCTCGCCCCCGAAGATAGTGCTGTTTCAGAGCAAAGTTGATTTCATGACTAGTTTCTGAAACACAGCGTCACCATGTGTTGGGATGAACTCCATGGCAGCTGGTACTGGGAGTTTCTAAAATGTGACCATCCCCTAAAAGAGATACCTGAGAGCCAACCCACCTTCCTCGCCACCTTGCCTGTCATATTCACATGTAGACAGCCACTGTCTGATGACTTGAATCTGACATAGCCTGGCCTAAACTGCTCCCAAGAGAAAAAAATGGTGGCAAGTGCCAGCTACAGAAATTAGCCTGCCAGTTAGGGTTCATGTCTGGGTCCCACATGGTGATTGGGTGCTGCACCTGCTTTTTCCCTGCCCCTTGTGGTCAGTGAGGCCCCTGCAGCTTTGCCCCTCAGGCCTGAGCTCCCCTGCCAACTTAACTGACGTTCCAGGTTCCAGTCCCAGTGGAAGATGAGCACGTCCGGGCTGCCTCCCTATGGTTTTTCCTTGGCTTGATAGTTTGGCCAAGACATATCAGCACCATGTATCTAAATGTGAAATTGCTCAAAACAGAAGTGATCAAAGTTCAAGATCATTTTGGCATGTTTTATGATACCAGTTTTGTGTGTTGAGCTTTCTGTGATTCATTTCTGAGTTTTTGAGGTCTTGGTGTGGTCTCCTTGGGGTCACAAAGGTAAGAAGTGATTCCACGCTTTTATGAGTATAGTAGTCCTGGTGACAGAGACCCAGGAGTGCCTGAGGCAGTGTGGCATTAGGATGGTGATCATGATGACCTTTTAACCCAAACCTGCCACCACCATCCCCTACCTAAACACCACTTTTTTAAAATAGGAAAGTATTAGGATTTGGGGATATTCATTCTGCAAATTTCTGAGTATTGTTTGGACTCAGTACCAACTGGGCTAGGTACAACCAAGTCACTGTAAGCCAACAGAAGAAAGACTAAAATCAGTAGATCACACACACAGAGACACATACATACTAATGAACTATAGAGAAGAATCAGTGAAGAAATTTGAATATAAGGAACCTCCTGGTGTGGTGTTGTAGGATAAGCACTGTCCCACAAGGTTGGTTGAACTGCAAGGTCTGCGGTTCAAACTCACCAGCCACTTAACCTCAGAAACCCTATACAGATTCTCTATGAGTTGGAACTTACCTGACAGCACTTAACAAAAACAACATAACCCATAGCCAACCCATTGTTAGCAAGTGGATTCCAACTCTTAGTGACCCTATAGAACAGAGTGGAACTGCCCCCCAGAGGATTTCTGAGGCTGTAATCTATAAGGAGATTTCTGAGGCTATAATCTATATGGAGCTCTGGTAACGTAGTGGTTACGAATTGGGCTGCGAACCGCAAGGTCAGCAGTTGGAAACTACCAGCTGTTCCATGGGAGAAAGATGAGGCTTTCTGCTCCCGTAAAGATTTACAGCCTCGGAAACCCTGTTCAGGGTCGCTATGAGTCAGAACCGACTCCATGGCACTTACCAACAGCAACAATCGTTATGGAAGCAGACTGCCTTTTTTTTTAACTCTTCTTGTGAATTGGGTGATAGTTTACAGGGCAGATCATCAGTTCTGCACTCAACCAATCGTATTTTGTTTCATTGCAATGATTATAGTCCCCTCCACCCCATCGAGTCGGTTCCAACTTATGGTGACCCTATATAGGGTTTCTGAGGAGCAATTGGTGAGCTTGAACCACCGACCCTGCGATTCAAACTGACCTTGCAGTCCAGCACATTAACCCACAGCGCCATACCAGGACTCCATAGCCGCATTTGTTGTTGTTGTGCAGTGCCTCCAGGTCGGTTTCAACTTATAGTGACCCCGGATAGGGTTTCCAAGAAGACCCTGGTGAGATTGACTCACCGACCTTGTGGTTCGAACTGACCTTGCAGACCAGTGCATTAGCATTAACCCACAGCATGAAGGACTGTTAAAAAAGTACTTTTGTTATGATTTGGAGCCCTCCTGGTGTGGTGATGTGGGTTAATGCACTGAACTGTAAAGTCGACTTGAGCCACTGGGTTGTCGGTTCAAGTTCACAAGCTGCTCCTTGGAAACCGTGTACAGGGTCACTGTGGGTCAGAACTGACTATGGCACTTAACAACACCAACAACAATGGCACACTAAAGGAACCCTTGTGCTGTAGTGGATTAAGGTGTTGGACTGCTAACCTCAGAGTCAACAGTTTGAGGCCACCACGTGCTTCATGAGAAAAGGATGAGGCCTTTGGCCTTGGGGACCCTGTACAGGGTTGCTGTAAGTTGGAACCCATGCAGTAGCACACAGCTAGCCAACGAGTGGTACAGTAAGGGAACCCTGTGGCTCAGCAGCTAAGGTGCTTCACTGCATTGATGGTCCTTTCTGCTGCAGCAATCTGCTTCCATAAAGACGTGCGGCCTTAGGAAGCATGTGGTGCAGCTCTGCTCTGTTCTTTATGGTCACCGTGAGTCAGAACCAACTAGAAGGCAATGGGTTTTGAGTGGTGCCATGGTTAGATGCTTGGTTGCTAACCAAAAAGTGGGTGGTTAGAACCCACCTGTTGATTCGTGGGAGAAAGATAAAAGATGTGACTGTCTACTTCAGTAGATATTTGCAGCCTTGAAAGTTCTGTGGGTTTTTTTTTTAACTTTTTATTGTGAAGTGAGTGAAAGTTTATAGACAAGATCATCACTTTCACATTCAGCAATTCCTACACTTCGTTTCATCTCAGTGATTGCAGTCCCCTCCGTGCAACAACAGTTACCCCACTTCCTCCCTGTGGGTCTTACTTCCATTCTACTCTTCTTCCCAACCCTGCTGAATGTTGTCTTTAAGGTAAGGGTGGCCCTTTTGAGTTTGAATAGCTGACCACTCCCTGGGGAACATACCTTACTAGTGTTGCTGTTGCCCTGTATACCTGTTGACTGGTTGGCTAAAACCTGGGCCATGAGGGTAAGCTCCATTCTAGACCGGAAGGGTGCTCTGGGGCCATAGTTGCGTGTCCTGAAATTCTCCAGTCTCTTTCTGACCAGCAAGCCTGAGTTCATTTTGAGTTCAATTCTAATCCCCATTGTCTCCCATTCTCTCCGGGCTCTGGTAATGCGATCCCTTTTGGAGCAGTTAGAAGCGGTATCCAGGCACCAACCAAGTCTTCTGGTCTCTCGAGTCATGGAGAATGATGTTCATGTCCTCCATTAGTCCATTGAACTGATTGATTACAGCCTTGGGAATTTTATGGGGCAGTTTACTCTGCCTTATAAAGTCACGATGAGTCAGAATTAATCTTGGTGGCAATGGGTTTTATTATGATTTGGCAGGATTTGTTGTTGTTGTTAAGTGCCTTAGAGTCTGTTGCGACCCTGTAGAGGATTTCCAAGGAGCAACTGGTGAGCCTGAACCGCAGACCTTGTGGTTCAAACCAGCTTCGCAGTGCATTAACCCATAGCGCCACTTGTATTCTTATATCTTGATCTAACAATAGATGTTTCATCTAAAAGTAATTTCTTATTTATCAGAAGGTCGGTTTCTACTCTGATCTCAAAAACCCATATCGTTGTTGTGGTGTGCCAAAACAAGCCAGTGCACCAAAGCTCTTGCATTTTATTCCTTGGAAAACAAAGAGCTTGTTTGTTTAAAGAACAGTTTTAATAAACTTCATTATCTAGATTCTTAACACAGATGGGTGTATCCAGAACAGCAGCAAATTGGAATGAGGACAGGCCATTAGTCCCAGGCACAGTGGTGGAAGTGACCATGGTGTGCCAAGGGTGAAGGCATTCATTGCACCACATCACAGGATGACAGCGCACATTCTTAATGACAACTCAGAGGTCTTCAGGCTTAAGATGCCTTGCTTAAGAAATCTGACAGCTCTAATATTTTAGACAGGTTTATATCCGAAATAATCTCATATTTTAAAGTCAATCAACTGGAAGTTTTGCTACAGGGAGCAATTGATCTCATGCCGAGAATGTGAAGTGATGCTGTGTCCTGAAATTCTCAAAACATGGGGCTCTTAACACGTTTGTTTAGCACCATTTAGTTGTAGTTACCCACTGCCTTCGAGTGGATTCGGACTCATAATGACCCCATAGGACAGAGTAGAGCTGTGTCATGGGGTTTCTGGAGCTGTAAATCGTATAATGAAGTAATCTGCTTTGTCCTTCTCCCACGGAGCAGCTGCTGGGTTCAAACCGCTGACCTTTTGGTTAAAGCCCAATGCCTAAACCCAGTGCACCACCAGGGCTCCTTGCAATTATATTGAGACTTGTGAAAATCTGCACAACCCCTATAAAATGCAATAGACTTAATGTGTGAGGAATGTGCCCCCCTCACTGTTGGATGTGCCTCATGATGACTCCGCCACCCTTCAGCTGAGTCAAGGAGTCCAACGCAGGCTCGGATGCCGAAGTTGTCTGTATAGCATGTGTTTCCTCCTGTCTTTGGATTTGATGCCAGGGCAGTGCACCACAAAGCAACCAGCCACTAATTTGGAACTCTTATGTGAGGTGCTTTCTGCTCCTATTTTGCTTAGGTAATCACATGCACTCGTGGTGTTTCTTTCTTTCTATAGATATAGAATACCACAGGTAATTTAGAATACAGAGGGAAGATTTGTGTTTGGAAAAAGCAGGTTTCTTTTTCCGTCATAAAATCTGATTCCAGAAACACAGCGTCACTTTCTAGTGTCTCTCGTGGCCAGGATAACCTCATGCCTTCTCAGTTAACACACTTGTTAGTACGCCTATGACTTCTGTTTGTAATGCCTGCTTTATAGCCTAGTTCGCATATAAATATGTTATGTCAACTATTCTGTGTACGTGACCTTTTAAATTTGAGTAAGAAGATGGTTGCATTGTCATCGTTGTCATCCTCTGACAGGAGAGATGGGGACATATGCCCTTTGTACCACATTTCTCATGTCAGTGGTAATTATAGGTTCCCTATGCTATCCAGAAGTACTGCGTTCCTATGAAACCTTTGTAAGCCAATACGGCATACAGCTAAGAAGCAGTTACCATTAATTTATATGGAAACATTTTTGAGCGTTCCCAGACCCAAAAAATAACCCCCAAACCATACCAAATAACTCATAAAACCTAAAGATACCATAACATCCCATGCTCAGAGACACAATTCAAAGCTATGACAAGAGGCCACACTCTCTGCAAAACAAATGTGAAACACTAGTTGCACTTTTTGACTTTCTTCCTAAAAGAGAAAATCCTCTTTGGATTTCTGTGAGTTAGTGAAAACAGATATTGATGTAGGTTTGTCTTAGTGTGGCACTATTGGATAAGCACTGGACCGCAAGGTTGATTTCAACTGCAAGGTGGTGGCAGTTCAAAACCACCAGCTGTTCCTTGGAAACTCTGTACAGGGTCACTGTGAGTCAAAACCATCTCAGCAACACTTAACAACAATCTTAAAAACAGTAGTCTTGGTAGGGTGCTGTAGGAAAAACACTGCACTTTTAACTACAAGGTTGGTGGTTCAAACCCACCATCCACTGCTTGGAAACCCTATGAGTCTCTATGAGTCGGAATCTACTAGATGTCACTTAACAACAGTCTTAAAAACAAAGTGGCATAAAGCAAACTTTCAAAAGCAGGAGATACATGTATTAGAATGAACTGCTGTAATCTGTGAATCAGAAGTCCTGGTGTGGTGCTGTAGGATAAGCACTGGACTGTAAGGTCAGTTTGAACGGCAAAGTTGGTGGTTCAAACTCACCACCAGCTGCTTCTTAGAACCCTATACAGGTTTGCTATAAGTTGGAAATGACTCAACAGCATTTAACACAATAAGTAAACAGAAATGGAAGTATTCTTACTTGTTTCATTGAAATGTCATGCTAAACTTCATTTCATGGAAATCCATTGATTTCTCTCTCTCTCTTTCCCCCC